TATAGGAAATCCCTGTCCAATGCAGCTCCCAGCTGGTTTCCACTCTACTTGTTCTCCCAGCATGGTGATGTTCTGCTTTCTAAATTCAGATGGAAGAAGCTGTACAGTAGATCTAAAAGTTCCAGTTAAGAAGCCTCTCTGGGTGTCAACATGATGGAGATTTTTATCTAGAAAAAAAGCATTAAAGACTATTAAAGATAGAGTAATCCATCTTTAATATTATATAATATTAATTAATTAATTATATTATAATAAATATAATTTTTCAGCTCCATCACAGTGCTCCTTGCTGCTCTTACGAAAGCACCAACAAACTGTAATTTCATCACTTTCTGACTCTGAGCAGCTGCATGATTTCAGAACCCTCATGTTCTCCTTGGCTGGGTGTAGGCTGGCCCTTTCTTGTCTCAGTGGCTGCGGAGGCAGCAGATTTAGGATGAGCAGTGCAAGAGGTGGTTAAGGATAGGTCAGCTCATTCTTTAAAGGGTAAATCCAGTACTGAACATCTATTTATTTGTCCTTAAGCACTAGTCAAGACACTGAAATTCGGAGGAGAACTGTTGGCGAAAACCTGCAAGTCTCGGCCCACAAAGAAGAGTCGATGAAGTCGGAAAGCATAGAAGAGGATGATGAGAACATGATGACAACTTGGAAGCCATTTCTAGTGAATATATGCATGTTCACTTTCCTCACAGCAGGAGCTTATCTCTGCTACAGGGTATGTTTTCACTGATGGACATGCCAGCACAACTGACCCTGCAGAAAACACCAACGATTTGATCGGTTTGTAATAAGCTTCTGTACAAGAAAGCTTCTTGAGGCACGTGAGCCTTATCTCAGCAGAGATAGATCTTAAGTTGAAAGGCCAGAACTTTGGTTAGGGCTTAAAGAGAGAATTGATGCACTAGGGTTTCAGCTAGCCCTGTGGTCCCAAGAACATGATATTCTAATCTCAGGGCCTTAAAATATTCAGGAGTAAGCAGAGAAAATGCCAAATAGTCCGTTTTTCTTTTTTTCTTCCTTTTTTTTTTTTTTTTTTTTTTTTACTAAATAATAGAATTACAACACATTGTTGTTTTTAGCCTTTTTTAAAAAGCCAGTTCTTTTTCTTTTGTGTTTCAGAAAAGCTAGGCACAAGCGAAACTTGCTTGTATTCTCCAAGTGTTGTAACCAAATACATCACTTACGTCATTGAGTTCCCAAAAAAAAAAGAAAAACAAACCCACATACCTGAAGAATGTAAACCTTTTGGAAGGGGTAGGGGGCAGCTATGACTGGGTGGGTTTTTGGTTTGGTTTTATTTCTAACTTGCTTCATCTGTTAAAGACTGAGTGAGTTGTGGGCAGTGCCTGTGGTATTGATGTATTTAATCTTGGGAAAACTTTTCTGAAAGAGCTTATTGTTTTATGTTGTTTATAGAAACAGGCTTCTGCATTTGCTCAGGGTATGCCAACATGTCCAGCTCTTTTTTTCTTTTTTCTTTTTTTTAAAGAAATGTATCTTCTCATTGACTTTTGTTGCGCTCTACTTGCACATATACCTATTTACATTGCACCATCCTTTGTAAAGCTGTTTTTACATTTGTATTCTGGGTTAGGAGAAATTGAGGGGAGGGAAAGAAACAGGAAAGAAAATTCAACCAAAACATGTCCACCAGCATTTTGAAGCTGTTCAGTTGGCATTCAGAAAGACCAGTTCATAAGCCTCATCATTTGGAATGTAAAATGCAGTTTCAGTCTACATCTGCTTCATAAGGAACAGTGTGCTTTGTGCCACGGCCGGGCGGTCGCGTGCTCAGAGGCATTGCAGGTAAGCATGGAAAGCATGTCAGGAAAACCAGAGCCTCAATCCTGTGGCAGCTTCCTTAAGACAGAAAGTTCAACAGAAGACATGTTGGCCTCAGAACGCATCAGCTGGGTGCTGATGCAAGCATTTGTGTGTTTTGCTTATTTTAAAGCAAAGATTTAGAATACTGGTGTATTTGGCTGAAGAGAAGCTGTTGGGTGACTGCGGGACAGAGGTGTGTGTGGATAAGCCTGGCACCTCTGCAGACACGGATGTTGCTGTCCTCAGTAACGTGGGCTAAGAGATGGGTGGTTTTGTTCTGTGCTGTGCTGTGTCAGGGGTTTGCTCAGCTGGAGCCCAGCACTTGAATAATCTGAGTGCTTGCAAATGAAGATTTGGGTGCATTGGTAGAATTGTGACTGGAAGCTTGCGTTACACTGAGCAGCAGTCTTAGTCAATGCTGCTCCTCACATTAGTACCAAATTATTACAACTTAAACAGTAATAGGGAAGAATTATTTGCTGATGTCATGGAACAGAAGAGTTAAATTCACTACTAAAAGCTGTGGTGAGTGAAACCAAACCATGTTGGCTGATCTGCAACAGCGTTGCTAATCAGTTCCTTTTGTTTTTAAATGCTTTATGGCACTTAACCACCATTCTCAGTGCAAACATCACTATGGAGTATCTTAAAGTCTTTCCACTCCACGTTTTTCATTTTTGCAAAGCTGTCTGTAGGTGCAGCTCTTTTCCTTCGGTGAATAAGGAGGTGAAGTGGGGAGCTGTTTCTTTTCTGTCTTTTGTTAAGCTTGCATCAAGGGCTTTTCACAAGTACAATATTAAATCCTCAGGTAGTACTGGGAATGGATACTTCACCTGTGGGATTGTTGGTCAGACCAACAGTCTGTACTTTCCAGTACTGGAAAGGAGGAATGCTGTAACCAGTCAATATCTGGTGGTATTACTGGAATCGTGAAAAATGAGTGTCGAAAAATGGTAATATATAATGGCTCATCTGTGTATTTAAGATACAGCGTGTGATTGCTTTCTCTCCACTGTTCTCTCCATCATTTGGTAGAACATTGTTCTAAAGCAACATTCATACATCATTTGTATTAGAATGCATGTAAAGTCTTCTAGTGTCCTGATTAAATACCATGTGCTTGAAAGGTGAAGGAAGTTCTATTTCTGCTTACTGATGTGCCCAAATTATATTTGCATGAACTGATCATTAAGTGGCTGTGGTTCAAAGGCTGCTGCTGAAAGCATCTTCGTTCAGCGGTAGATGGACTTGGTGTTTATCAGACAACATGTACTCGCCTGATCCTTGGCATGACCTCCTATTAAATTTCTGCGTATTCAGCGTAACCTGGTTGTTAGCATGGTTCATTTCAGCTGAGTGAGTATAGTACAGACATTCCAGAGTGCGTGGTAAGCTGTATTCACACCTCACCTCTGCTATGGGTGGCAAGCAGGAGTTGGTGACTCTGGGGGGGACTTGCTGTGCTGCCTTCAGAGCTGTACTGGAGGACAAAGAACCACCTTTTTTTGCAAGACTGCCATAGTTGCTTTGCAAAGACACAGGTTCTTAAATGGTGTGATTCTCCTCAAAAAAAAAAGAAAGCCAAACAGAAAACAAACTGTCCTGTTCCCAAGAAGGGATGTTTAGAACGGTAGCATAGGGAGGAAAGTAAAGCATCCTCCCTTTGAATCCAGCATCCAGTTGCACCGTGCTTACAAATTACTGCAGTATGAGAACGTTCCTGCAGAGGAAGTTCTGAACATCCTCCTTCTGCCTGTGTATTTTTCTTGTTTCTGTCACCCGTTCCAAATTCAGGAGAACTTGTGCTGTCCCTGTGAGGTGTGGATAGAGCTTATAATACTGAACTGTAAACATTTTTGTTTTGGTGTCCTGTATGTGTACGTAGTAGTTTCGGTGTGTATATACAGTAGCATTTCAAAGTGGGTGTATTGGTTAACCTGTTCTTGGAAAATGGACAAATATCCATGTTAAACTTGTTAGAAAGTTAGTGAGCTGCTCTGCTATCTTGCCTTAAGCAAATATTTACGCATCAGGTCTTTCTTTTTTTACAGATCACCATAGAATAAACTTTTTTAAAAAAATAAAAACCAAAAAAGTTAAATGTTTTGGTATAACACATTTTCAGGTATTTTGTCTTTTGTGTAAGTCACTGCAAAGACCTCAGAAGTTATAGTAAAACTGTACAGTTTTCTCAACTTCCCATACAAGCTTTCAGTTGCCATTTCAGTTGTAACAATAAAATTCTTTTTTTAAAGAACGTACCCGCGTCCCATCGCTGTGTGTTTCCTCAGAGCTGCCAGCGCCTGCTTTGAATTACTTGCAAGTCTACACTGATAGTGTTTATTTCTCTTCCTGGAAAGAGCTTGAAGCGTTACTGTCAGAGCTCGCTTATAGGTCAGAGCTCCAGGAAGAGGAGTGCCCCGTTCCGTGCCTCTCCCTGCCACGTTCATCCTCCCCTCCAACACTTTAGTACGTTGGATCAGGGATTGGGGTCATATACGCATCCCCGTGCCTCCGTTACGAGTTTGTGCAGGAGTTTCTGTTGTGCTTTAGCCAGGGAAGGACTACAGGATCGCAGCACTTCCATGCTCTTCGAATTAACGTAATTTTTGTTTAGATTTTTAAGAAAGCTACAACTGGGGAAGTGCTCGAGATTTTTCAGCGGTTCCACAAAGCGGCGCCGAAGCAGCTGCGGTAGCGCTGCACTCAGAGCCCGCCCCCCTCACCGCCCCTTCCAGCCAAGGGGAGGAGAGGAGTGGGCGGCAGCTGCCGGGGCTGCAGGGAACTTAGCGGGGAACGCCTGTCCCTGCTTGGAAATAAATCTGCAAATGAAAAGCAGAGTTACAAAATCTATGAGCGACCGCCTCTGAGTGCGGTTAAAGCTTGCTATGCGGCAGCATGACCTGAACTCCGCAGTTCAGAGCTCAGGAGAGAAGAGCTGCGGGGTTTCAGGATGCTGCACGTTCCAAGGCAATACTGATAGCACAGCAGCAGCCCAGCCTGCACAACCTGCCCAGACTGCACAAGCCTGAAGCTGGCAGAGCAGATAGGACGGGGTGGATGAAGTATATAGTGGACACAGAGCCTGGCTTGGAATGCAGAACCTAAACTGCTGTTCAGATGCACCTCTCCCCATCACTCTGTCCGTACGGCCACATGAAGGATGTGCAGGGTTTGTCTCAAAAGTTTTATTAGAAGTCCAGAAAGTATGAAATCCAACAAATAAATACTGAATAGAAAAAGTATTATATATAAAATATATACACACAGGCCTTTTCAAGTATTTTACCTGTAGCCAGACTTCACATCATGGTTACCACTTTCTCCTGCACTAAGCGGAGAGTAAGGAGCCTGGCAGTGGGCATGTGATTATACAAACCTTGACCTATGGCTAAAGGAAGAAAATGCTTTTTTTCCTAAAAAGCTTACACAGCTCCGTCTGTATGGCAGTCTGATTTGTACATGGCTAATATGATAACTTCCCTTTGTCAGCTGCAGAGGGTATACACTATTTGTCCTTGCCAATCCCTGCTCAAGAAGCCTGTCCTACGTTGCACTGATTTAAAAAAAAAAAAAAAAAAAAAAAAAGCTTTTGAAACAAGGAGCCATTGTTCCTTGTGCAGCAAAATTCTATTAAAAAAAGAGAAACCAGCAAGCAATACTGCTAGATTTTCTAATTCACATGGCAGCTGATGTAAACAACTGGCTGTCAGCAAGGTTCTAGATGGATTATTGGAGCACCATCATTTCATTCTTTGCAGAAATGCAAACAGAACAGATGGCACACAACTGAGTTTGTGTGGGCGCAGCCAGTTCTGTGACGTAGGCTTCAATCATGCTGCAGCCTGGTTTGACATTCTTACGGACCCCAGTTTGTTTTTTTCTTCAGCATTTCAGATTATCAATACTGAAAGTGAGAATAAAAAACAAAGATTCCAGTCTATTTGATTTAGATTGCAAACTGTGTCCACCTTGGAAACAAAACTACTGTCAGTAGGCAGCATGTACATAGCAGAGTGAAAGTAAAGATGCTGATAAGCAACAAAAGTAAACCCTTGGGTACCCATAAGTAGCTGTGAGGAAAGAATGACTTAGCTCCTTATACTCCACTACTAGAATACTGTGATCTCAATTTCAGCCTCCTGCTGCACAGCATCCCTCAATTCACAGCAAATCCTGTCCATTTTCTCAAAGGCTTGTCGTCCCTTTTCACCTATGAAGAAAGAAAATACATCTCACACTGAGGAAAACAAAGCAGTCAGAAACAACCTGAGAAAAGCAGTAGTGAGAAATACTTCTGTTGTGACTTTGTACAGAACTAATTAGGACTCTCAGTAGTGACAGATCTCTCTAAAGCAGTGATGTTCAAAGCCCTGCTACAAGTCACCATGGGAAAACTAAGTTTAAAAAATAATCAGGCTCTCTGTAAACATTTCCACATGATTAACAACATGGAGCATCACAATTGGAAAACGTGTTTTGTAATGCATGTGACTCTTAGTATTTCTGTGAAGTTAGTCTGGAGATTCTCAGAAGAGCATGACTCTTAAGTATTTTCAGGAAGAACAGAGCAGGGAAATTACCGCCATCTCCCAGATGACTGCATCCTCCCCGGGAGCTAAGCCTTTCAGGTTCTTATCCTAGACAATTCTCCTTTGCCTTCAGTAGAAGTACAAATACCAGCCAGTAGCAAAGAACCTCAAGATTTGACTAGCAGCTCAACTCCAAGGTACATTCACTGCATTCAGGTGAAGTAACACACACAGAACAATTCTGACTACACTTAATAACCCTCTGGTATTCAGAACAGAGCAGTTTGTAGAACAGGAATAGGAAAAATACAAGGAGCCAGTCCATTTGCAGGTGGCTAAAGGCGATCACCAGGCCAAAGTATTCTGTTGCTGTTGTGATACATAAAAGATCTTCAGTTTAGCTAATGTCACAGAGCTAGAACCAGTGTAATTTCAATCCCTTGGGTCCAAATAGCATTTTTACAAAAGGTAGAAGGGGAAAATCGCTGATGCCAGTACTACCATTAGTAAGTACTCCAGCAGCACTGTCAGCATCTTAAGTGCTTATCTGCCATCCTTCAAAAAATTTAGTGGTTCTTAAAGCACCTTATCCTACAATAATCTTGGTCTGGTTTTACAAAGAGTAATAGAAGCCTTTGGTTGTTACATGTGGCATAAAGTTGGTTACTGCATGTGGCCCCTTAATGGTATGAAATAGCCGTTCATGAAACACTCCCATTGTCTAGGATGTGTTCAGGCTGTACAACACAAGCAGAGCTTCAGACCTGTTCTGGTTTTGCACCATTTCACACTACTTTTTGGAATCTGCATTTTAAGTTGCATGAAGACTTACCAAAGGACAACGTTGTTTCCCTGGCTGCATTCCTTACATCCTCTGTTTCAGACTGGCACAGGTGGGCAACCTGCTCAATACTCTCTATGCCCTATTTGAGAGAAGTGCAATGGTAGCCTATCAGCAAACATTTTGATGAACACTTTTCCAAAGCAAACTAACTCCCATTTCTTCTTGTGTCTGACTGTGATCTTTCTTTTCTCCCCTAAGGTATCAGCTTGCACTTATTTTTTCTGAGCATGATATCACTTCTATTTTATCCTTTCTCTCCTGTTTTAAGACATAGGAAAGTGTTAAAACTCTGGTCCCCAGTTCACTGCTTCAGTACTGTTAAATTAGCATAAAACAGTTGGGACCTTCACTGAAAAGTTGTGCCATGGCAACACTTGCTTAGCAGATCTGACTTTGAGAGTAAGACTTGCTTGTCAGGCCTATTTTATGGCTACGTTTGTACTATCAATAATCCTGTCAGTGCAAACTTATTACAATTGTTTATAATAGCAATACAAATACTATTTGTATTTTCTGACTATTATCAGCAGTTATTAAAATAAGATCAACTGATTTAACTTCTACAGTTAAAGAGTAAGAACTGACTCCACACATAGACGACTCCACTGCTCGTTCTCCTTCACACCAGATGTCCTCAGTCAGGCACTATCTTCTGTGGTAATGCTGGAGAAACTAGAAAGCACCCTTCTACCATTCTGCCATGCCTGTCAGATTAAACTGAGACACCCCTTCTACCTGCTGCTTTTTAATGACAGCAGTAATATTTTGGAACTCTGGAAGGCAAAGAATTCATTAATTCCAGATAAAAGAAAGATGAAAGATGAAATCTCCGCCAGATTTAAAAGCAATTTGCCAGACACGGCAAGAAACAAGTAGAGTTATAAATACTTACTCTGAGATTTTTAAGGGCCAAACACGCAGCTTGCTGAAGTCTTGTATCACAGCCAACTAAAACATCAGTGTAAAAAAGGAGAGCCTGAAAGATAAAAGTTTTATACCTCTCAGTATTGTCAAGCACTCAAATTCAGACCAACACTAGCTTTGTTTATCTGTGTGAAATTGAATAAAGGTTACAGAAAAATCACCTGAGCACTGACTTGGTTTCAGTTCAAGGTAATAGATTAATGAAGTGCGCAGAGGGTAACAGTACTATTTCAAGACAAAACAAATAGCATGCATTTCAGCACCTAATTAGAAAAGCTGAGAAGAAGTAAGTTTTAACCTTTTCCCTAAAGTTCTTGTTTGCTGCTGCACGGGAGAGGCAGGATGTGGCTGCTTTGCTGACGCGGTGGTTGTCATCAATCTGTAAAATCCCAAGTAGCTGCAAAGTCTGCGGTAGAGGCTGGAGCCGATTCAGACGCTTCCCTTTCAATTTTTTAAGGGTCTTCAGCCGTCCAGGGCACTGTAGCTCCTCAATTAGCATCACTGCATGTGAAAGGACTTAACATCACAACACGGTAAACGAAGACATTTCCACAGGATTAACTCCTCTCTAACTCTGCCTCCTTCAGCCACGGGAAGTTGTTCAAATGGTAAATAAGCATGCTAAGTATGGCAGGGAGCAAATCAGGATGACTGCCCCTTTGGCAACCCAAAGAAGTGCCTTCTTTCCCTTTCATTGTTTCATAGAGCAGTGACTACTATTTCACAGCTCTAGCTCACAGGTACAACAAAGCCCTGCTCTGTAACAGGCCCAGGTGCATGGAGTACAACATACATGTAAGAAATCTCTGCACCTTCGGACATTACAACCACCAGAACATTCCTAAAATAAGGACGAGACAATCAAGCATAATACTTCTTTTAAACAGCTCAGAAAGATCGAGCTGCATCAGTTGAGAAAAGCATGCCTCTCTTCAGAAAGAAGAAATGAGACACTAGATTGGCAATTTGAAGAATATTACAGATCTTTTTCGCCAGTGATGCACAAGTTCTCAGTCTCCTAACAGATAAATAATTTCCACCAAAATAAGACTACAGACACAGCCAATATCAGGATCATTTTGAAAATAATTTTCTAACACAGACAAAGCTTAAAGTGCCTTCATGCTGTTAAGTTCAGCCAGACACTGGATGCCTCTGAGAACTCATGCGTTAGTAAGCTCTGAAATGTGATCGCTTTTGTGTCTGTCATCGCTGCGGATACAGTCACACAGAGCTACAGGCAGTTATCCAGTCCTTTAATCTAGAAGTAGATTGTTGCTAAACCAGTTTCTGTTTAAATTTCAGGATATCTCAGAAACCCCCCCCTCCTTTTTCTTTTTTTTTTTTTGGACACTTATGATGAACTTTTTTTTTTCCACACCTGTTTTGTTTCTGCCTGCTCAGATGTGAGAGTGAAGCATCTCTGTCCTATTTGTGTTAAAATTGTGTGGTCATAAGAGGAACTAAAACAAATTGGCAGTGCAGTGCTGGGCTGTTCTCTGCTCTGGAAGTTGATCTGCACCAGTGAAGCTGATCTGAACCTGTGCCTAGTGCTGCCATTACCTTCTTTAGCAAGTCTTCCTACGTGTTTTTCCAGGCTTGTAATCCGGTGTTTCTCCAGGTAGCTGTAAAATTGGAATAAAGTAACTGGTTCTGTTTGGAGATATGGAGAAGGCAGCAAGCCATCACAGGTGACGATCTGCTCTAGCAGTCTTCGCAAAACTGAAAGTAACAGAAAAGAACAAATGAATAAAGGAAATGCTGCAGAGCTGCCAAAACAAGGTGTTCTTTAAATGCGTAAGGATAATTTTCACTCTTGTGATAAGATTCAACTGAAGCAGCCTTTGGCTCAAGGAACAGAGTGGTACCTGCTTCTAATTGGCCAGGGTACTTTTCCTTCACTTTGACTGCCAACGTGTACTTCAGTACGTGACGGAATCTTTCTGCTGAAGCAAAGAAGATACTGCCAGGTTCTGCAACATCACTCCAGATTTTCAGATAGTGCTTCTTCTTCTTAGTCTTCTGAATAACTGGAAATCATAGTTTAGGAAGTTAGTGAGCTTTAGCAGATTTTGAATTTTACATGAGAATTAGGCACCAGATGCCCATCTAGATACGTGCTCACATAAATTAAATTTGCATTATATAGATGGCTGTGTTCAAAGCTGGAGGTTTGCTGCCCATATTTTAATGTCTGCGATCACGCATGTCGGCAAGCTTGGATTGTGGCCTCAAACTGTCATAAGAAGACCTGAATGAGATGCCTTAGCAAAGCTCTATTGATCATCATTCATTTTTCCCTATCATCAGAGTCAAGTTGCAAAAGAATCTTCTGTGAGTTTAACTGTTTTCACTTCTACCAGCTAGAGGCAGAACTTCCCAGCATTTCAGAAGTTCTTCATTACGTACCCTCACAAGAGGAAAATACTGAACCTACATATATAGGCTGAAGGAGACTTTCTTCCATCAAACACTTTATAAAAGCAATATCCTGCAGTTTCTTGGTATCACTTAACCCCTATCACCTCTTCTACGCAGAAAGAGGTTGAATTTCTGCTCTGCATTTAGGTCTCCTGTACTTCCACCGTGTTTTGCTACAGGCTCTTCTGAGCCTTGCTCTGAGGATCCCTCTATTTTCACATCCTTCAGATCAAATTTGTCAGCAAATACTTCCGGCTAAAATCTGCATTTCTTTCTCTGCACCTTACAAAGACGAGAACAAAAGCCTTTGAAGTCTCCCACTGTGCTCTTATTGTTTTGTTTTCTCCAGCAGTTAATGGAAAGAATAGGGCAAGATCACTGTACACCAAACTACTCTTTGTAATGCATACAAAAGCAAAACAGGTTAGTAAGCTAAGTAAAATAATAAATGACTTTATCAATGCTATTTTGCTGTTCTCTGCAAGTTCCATTGCCTGTAACACACCCCTATTTCTAAGGCACACCACACCATTCAGCTGTTTCATGAGCCATACTTCAATTTTTTATTTCCTTACAAAAGGAAAACAAATCGTGGCCATTGTTTTCTCAAAAATAAATAAATAAATAAATACATAAAATTAGAAATTATCTGTAAGAGCTTTTTAAATTATGCGAATATTTGTAAAGAATTTAAAAAGAAACTCTGACGTGTCTGGGAAAGCTCAAGGTCTCCCTGTAGCTCTCACATCCCTGGCAATACGCATTTACTCACTTTCTTCAACAGACAAATCCAAGACATCCCCCAGGACTCGCAACTGCTCTGACACTTCTTCCAAAACATTCTCTTGGATGATCTGGGCTACATTTGGTGACCTCAGTTTCTGAAATGCAACATGCTCATCTCAGTAGCTGAAACAAAGGCAGCATCAAGCTCAAGATGAATATTTGTTTCATAGAAGCACATATCTAAAGTCTGTAAGAAAACACCAGATTCTCTCCAAAGACCACTACTCTCATCACAGCACGGCCTTGTTTCTGAGCACAAAGCTGACAAGCAGAACAGGATAAAGTGACATCCTACGGGAAAAGGCTGTCCAGCATTCCAGATCCATGCCTGCCTCATCCACTGACAACCGTGAAGCAGATCAATACTAAAAGTTACACTGTACTCTGCAGGCCACGCAAAGCAGATGACAAAATTTGCTTTGAGCACTGTAACTGAATTAGTTGGTGGACAAGGTCTCAGAGAGAGAAATACTCTTTTTTCCCCTGAGTGCCACCAGTTTCTTCCTAGAGCTAGGGGTTTTTCCATTCGCGAAGAAAAAAAAACCAAAAAACAAAAAACAGTTCACCTGTTACTGACACAAAATTCAACTCAAACCAGCCTCCTGCAGCCTGCTTTAGTTACCAGAAGTTCAAGGAAACCAAGAGGCTGTAAAAAGACAGCCGTTGGATGACATTTGCATGACATCTTCTGTGCACATCCGCATATACACTGCTGCACTGCTGGAACTCAAATGCTATTCTGAATCTTTCTGCTTTTGAAAAAGAACCAGCTACACATTCATTTTTATCTGTACTCAAAAATCAACAGCTACCAACGATGACCTCAGAATCCCATCGGCTATTTCCTACCTGCAGAAGAGCTTTGCACAGCTTCAGATGAGTTATTAAAAGTACATCTAAGTTGTCATCTCCAGTAGTTACATCTCTTGTTTCTGTTTTCATATCACAGCTCAGGGACTGAAACGTGTTGTCATTGTACGTGCTGCTTTGAAGAGGAAAGAAGGAATTAAAACATGACCTCGTATTACCAAATCAGGATGAAGACGTGCATTCTCACTAGAGTGCAACCCTCATTTTTGCAAGTTCAAATAAGTTGCAGAAACATAAACCAGGCGGCATTTAAGACACAAAAGCACTTCTTAGTGCATTGATAACACTTCTTAGAGAACATGAGGGCTATTTCTAGAGCTAGAAATAAACTGCACAACAGTAAAATCAGGTCAGTTGCTCCCAGAAAATTCTGTTTTGGAGAACCAATAATAGAAAAATGCTTCATATAAATAGAAAAAGAAAGCGTGACTTGAGATAATGGGTCATTTGAGTCAAAACCCCTTGCTTTACTCCCAGTTTGATGACACTGGGAGTGTAACAACTCTCCAAGGACCAGGTCACAGCTCTGGAACACAAGTTCCAGCGCACACAACTTGGAGAATACAAAAAGAACACTCAAAAACACTGGTAGAAGAACTTGTAAGACATATATAGCTCTCTCCCTCACTAGTGCAGGACTGTTCAAGGCTATCCAGACAACCCCGCTTGTAGTACTCTTGCATATTAGGCATTCCATCACATCCCAAGGGTATCATTCTCCAATGTTTTTCGTATGTTCAGTTCAAGCTTCCTGCTGTTTCAGTCTGGCATTCTGAATTATGAATCTCAGAATATTTAAAAAAATAAATTGTTTCTATCTTAGACGTTCACACTTTTAGCACCTCTGTACAACCTGTACTAAGCCAAACATAGTCTATCAGTAAGTGTTCTGGGACCACCTTTGCTTTTCCCTTTACCTTGCCACCTACAGTGAAGTGCTGCAGACACCTACCTGATACTGGCTGTTCTTATGCTTCCAAATAATGAAACCTCATCAGCACTACAGTCAGCATTTAAGAAGTTAAAACTTTCCAGCACCGTCTCCACCATTAAACTTTCCACAGATGAATGTTTGTGATGAAGTGTCCTTAGCTTTTGAAGAATGAAGGGAAAAATATTGTTATTTGAAGATATTAAATCATTTTACACGATTTTTTGATTGATTTTTCAAATTGCTCTTACTAACAAACCAATTTCCTTCTTTTTTAATTTTATTCTTAACATATCAGAAGAGTGAGTTGTTGGTACACCACTGATCCCAAAATACAGTTGCTGATTAATTTCACAGTGTGCATCAGCATTTTCATTTGCATTCTTCTTTGTATTTCCACATCTCTTAAGTTTGGCACAAGAGCTGACTTTTCTGTATCTCTTGCCATTAGTGTAGATCTAGAAGTAGCAAACTGAAGGCTCTGCTGCATGACAGCATAGCGTCTGTCTTAATTTCAGCTGGGACAGAGTTGTTTTTTGAAGGTCTGTGTGGTGCTTGGCTACCTGTCAAGTTAAACTACAATAGTACCCAAGAACTTAAACATCAGTGTGGATTTCATGGGGCCGCTAACATTCTCCCTCTGGAAAAATCTGCTTTGGGAATATTTGCTTTGTTCTTTTTTTTTAAAATTCCTATAACTGAAGTGATTATATTGAGGTAGAAAGTCAGTGCAGCGCTTTTAATGACATTTGCTACTTCAGATCCCAGATGAAGTCTTACAGCATCTTGTCTCCCAAGCCTGCGTGCTGGTCCACACACTAAGATGCTAGGAAATTTACAATTTAACCCAATGCTTGCATAAAGCTCTTCTGCAGGATTTTTCCTCTAAGTAAAAGTTTCCAGCAACATATGGTTAAAAAATTCACTTGACAGATTGAACTGCCTACAAAGACTAGGTCATGAGAAATTTTGTGTGGCAAATAAATTAGAAACAAAATACAGGGACTCTGACGTGTAGTCAAGATCCTGTTTGCATTTAACCCAGATGAGCTTCCACTTTGACTACTTGCAGTTTCTTAATTTCTTTTGACAGATTATTGACCTCTGCATAGCATTTGGCCACCATCCCTGAGAGATGCAGCACAGTACTATTGTGCAGTCAGCTCTGGAGACTGTCTTTTCTGACGAGGGCCTGACCCCTGGTGGCCAGACTTGTTTTTTAGGAACATGCCATTGATACAACCCAATGTCAAATCCACTACAGGGTCACAAAATTTTAACCTCTTAGGAATAACACTGAAAACTACATCACCTGCCAGTGTTAAAACATTACCATACCTTTAATTTATCCCTCAGAGTTAAAACTTGGTATTCCAATTTCTCCAGCAGGGCTTGACCAACACCATGGAATTTTAGCAAATTGAACACTTCTTGGAGAGTCTTGTCAATTGACTTTGTACATCCATCCAGTTTTACATCATTTGCAGCATTCAAGCTTCTCTGGCTAATGCTTTCTTGTTCTGTCAGATGGCGACTTCTGGTCTGGTTTAAACTTCTACCGCCTTTTCCACGACTCAGGAAACTAGATGGGTTACTTGAAAATGTGTCCACACATGGAGTCTTCTTCAGAATATCTAGAGTTGCATGATTTGGAAGAGGCTTTTGCTCTTCTGCACAAGTCTCTTGAATAATCATCAATGGCAGTGTCCTATGGTCTAGAGCTGGAAGTGTAGTTCTGGATTCTGTCCCTCTCTGATCGTCAGAGCTGAACGAGTCTCCTTCACTTGTCTCTGCAGGACTGTGAGGTTTACTTCTCTCATGTGTACCAAAATCACAGGCAGCCAAGTAACTCAATATGCTAGGAGGCTGAGCTTCACCACTTACATCCCCTTGGTTCTGTCTTTGTTGCAAAACAGACTGCAAACAAATTCATAAGTGAGCACATATACAACCGAAAAGCATGACATGCCATCCAGGATGCATAACCATGGTTTCCTGTTCTTAAAAACACATGCATTCAAACTCATCAAAAAACCACTGGGCCATTCTGCACAGAGGAACTATGCTGCATAGATTGGACAGAGGAAACCAACATAACAATGTGGTAAGAGCCTACTGAAAGAATTAAATAAGAAGAATGGAACAGTTCTATTGGAATGGGACTGCAAAGATCAAGTCCAACTGCCTGACCACTTCAGGGCTAACCAAAATGTGAAACATATTATTAATGGCATTGTCCAAATGCTCCTTGAACACTGACAGGAATGGGACATCAACTACCTTGATGGGAAGCCTGTAGTAACTCAAGTAATAACTACATGTTATCAGATGAAAGTTACCAGAACAAGCGTAAAACCAGTTTGGAAAGAGTATGTTGCAAAGCTTCTTTCTTGTCACATCAGCTCAGGACAAGACGTGAATATAGTGGTTACAGGAAAGATTCATTTGTAAGAGTCCAGCAGACCCTACACATAAGCCTTTCTAATGTTGACAACACATTCTGCTGCCTCAGTGAGGTGCCAAAAGTGACTTAGACCTGATTTTATGAGAACGTATAGATGGTGTTATCACTATATAAGATCTATGGTAGAATTGACAGGAATATATAGTACAACCATTACATTAAAACTTCCTGAAAGCATGGAAAGGTTTTTTCTATTCCCTTGGGCTACACCTGGCAAAAAGTAAACTCGAGAAAGAAGGCACTTAGTTTTACAGAGCAATTCTAAGATAATGTTCTGCACTAAGGCTACCAAGACTGGTTCCTAGTGCAATTCCCACCATAGAGTATTAGAACATGTGCCCACATCCCTACCATTCTGACTGCCAAGAGAAGTATTTCACAGGGATTTCATTTCTTCTACAGAATCTAAAGTGAAGCTCCAAGTAATAGGAGTAAAAATAAAAATAAACCACTCTTGCTCTGGAATGTCATGTTTCCACATTTCTGAGTGCGATCTTCAATAGCCTAATCAAATCTACAAACAGTAGATTCTAGATCTATGCTTTGCATTTTGCCTTCCTCTGCATACTCACCAGGTAGTACTTCTCTCTGAAGCTGGGAGTATTTGGAGGGGTCCAGTTGTACAGAGAGCTCTTCCTGCTACCCACAGAAAACTTGGATGTGGTTCCAGGCGACAGGAACAGGTTCTCTGCATCAAAGGGGCTGTAGCAGAAGATACAAAGACTAACCTGTCAGTAAGACCAGAAAGTACAGCTATGCTTAGCAACAGGAACAGCTGTTAGGATTGGAATTGTGACATTTAGGAAACAGCAGAGGGAATAAAGGGAAAGAAAGACTGACTGCCTCTTTGACCAGTATCTTTGATCACACCAGCTGAAAAAGAAATAGGCAGAAATACTGCTCATCATATACAAAAATCAAAACACCCTTTAGACAGAAACCTGTGCCACAGTCTTTGGAAGACCAGTCCAACAGGCTGCAAAGTCTGATGAGTCCTCTGTCCTGCTGCATTTTCCTACATAGACACCAGTGCTGGCAAGTATGGCACAGTGCTGGCTCACAGTCATCCTCCCGTGGACCCCATGGTCCCTTTCTTCTATGCTGCTCTCCAACAGGTCAGTTCCCAACCTGTACCGGTACCTGCGGCTGTTCCTGCCCAGATGTGAGACTCTACACTTGCCTTTGTTATACTTCATTAAATTTCTCCCCACCCAACTCCCCAGCCTGACTAGGTCTTGCTGCATGGAGCAGACCCTTCTGGTGTGTCAGCCACTTCCAGTTTTGTATCAACACAAAATTGCCAACATAAATCCTCTGCACAGGTTAGAAGCACGCAGAAGTTCCATTATTAAAGTTGAAATGAAGAACAAGTCTTTTGATCATCCTCTGTGACCATGTTGTTTGAAATAGAGGCCAATCATTTCCTTTTCATGCTCTCCACAGCCTACCATATACCTAAACAGTATCATCCATCAACACCTTTTCAAGCCTGAAAAAGCTATTTGACTTCTTGAGATAAAGGTGACTCCATATCTCTCTTATCACCTTTGTTGTCTCCGTTCAATTTCTAAACTGCCAAACACATGTTGCTCTTCGGTTATGACTAATTACAATATTGGCACTAAATACACGACGTCTAACGCCATCATTAAGGATAACATTGATGTAGTTCATGGCACTCCTTTAGCTTGCCTTAGCACAATTGCAGGGCTTCAAGCATTCAGGTCCAAAACACACATGCCCGGCCTGACCTTGAAGGGGTTCACAATTCATCAGAGCTCAGGTTTCCTACATTTAACCTCCCATGACATCAGAAGCTCCTCAGAAGAGGCTCCTCAGCCTTACCAGTGCATGAATAATAGCAAGATAAATGTTATCAAAACCCCTAATCCTGGGAAGGGTGAAACACTTGGTGTTTCCACTCTTTTATCATCCTTCCACATTTTTTTGTTAGTTGCATACAGAGGACTGTCCCTGAATTACATTCTTAGACAAATGTAAGCAATCAGGCAAAACACTGAAGAATTGAACTCAACTCTATCTTCATCTCCAGAGGTTTTAAGTTCCTTTCTCTCAATGCCAGGACAATACCCTAATGAGTCTCTGTCCACCCTTCTGTGCATTAAATATCTACCAAGATATACCAAATATCTATCCTATCAAGGGCCAGAAAGGCACTTGGTGGATAGATGCATCTGAATTTTACTATTAAGTCAGCTTGGATTAACGCGAGCCTGAATCCACAATAGTTTTGGTTGAATGGATAAAGCTTACTTATCAGCAGAACACAACACTCATTTTTTTCCCCTCCTTATTGAACATATGTGAAAACAACAATGCAATTTTAACAGAGTGATCATAGTTCAGCTTCTACAGTTCATCAAAGCATAAGAGTACAAATGTTAAAGGCTAGTACAGCTTGTTATAGGACATACTTTGAAACATCATTTGCCTTGAGAGCCCAGCATTGGACTGCTAACTAAAGATACGCAGGTGAGTATTTATTCACATAAACTTCTATCCATATGAGAAAGCCTGGCAGCAGGGATGTAAAAAACTGCCTTCAACAAAATAAAATCATATATTTCCTTTTAAGTTTTGTTTTCCTCCTGCTCAGGAACCCTTGTGAACCAGGCCAGCATATATCCAAAGCAGGCTGAAATTAGAGGAGTTATTTTGGCTGGCTGGAACCCTTAGATTTCAGCACAGGGAACTAGCTGAAGTTTTCAGAAGAGAATACAGGCTTTCCTTTTGTCATTCACGAGTGAGAATTCAGACTGCTGTTTAGGTTGGTGGAAATAAAAAGACAAAACTAATGTATTCTGCCAAACTAGCCAGCAAAGCAATTCTGTAATAGGCCCAAGCTCATTCATGCTCCTCATAGCATGACCTACAAAAGAGCTGAAGGAACTTTTCTTAGAGGCCACAAGGCTATCAGTCTAGTTAAAGAAAATACACGTTTAGAAGTAGAAGCGTGATGTACATTTCAGTCTTTTTTGCAAAAGAGGTCCATAGCGAAAGTTTGCCTTGCAGGGATGTTTGGGCATAGCAGATAGCTTTGTTCAGTTATTCCTACACAAAAGAAACAGGCATACTTTGAGTGTTCTCTTAAAAATAGAAATACCCTCAATTACCGTCATCCAACTTCTTTTTGGTAAAGACCTTCATCAGACAGACTCTCAAAGTGGAGAAGTCTGCCAGTTCTGTGCAGAAGTGCCCTGGAGAATCTACTTGGTAGAGTACCAAGGCATTTCACAAGACCTAAAGCAGAGACGCACAGTTGGAATATTCTCATAGACTAAGAAATTTCCAAGTGAGGATTAACACCCAAAGAAAGTGCATCACCACTAGCCCTGCTCCCAGCTCAGACGTTGCCAACTTTAAACAGCTGTGGACTGCTTCCAAATGGCATAGTAGTGCTCATCCACTGATGATCCAAAGTTACAGAGTAAACTGTGAGGTACCGCCACAATTGAATAACTAAATAATTCAAGTTGCATATATTTAGAGAGTCAGAAATACTATTTGCTTTGGAGACTTAAGCTATTATTCGATCAACCATGCTATATATATCCCAGAATAGGAGGGTGTTTTCCTCATACAGTCCTTTTAGAAGAAAAACTTAAATATAAGTTTATGCAAGTTACTGACAGTGAGGAAAGGCAAGTAAATTCAGCAAATTTGAACTGAATCTATCTGTTACAAAGACATTTATGTAGGTAAACAGATAGATATTGCAGTGATCTCTCTCAAACTCTACCTGAAGCGTGCCATCATTCAGTATAGCACTTAGAGAACTAGGTATAAAATCTGGTTCTACCCTAATAAAGAACATCCTCTTTACTCCACAAAGACATCTCCTTAAGACTGAAGGCTTGAAGTCACAGGGAAAGAGACTTCCCATGTAAGAAAAGTACCTCTGCAAACAATATTCTACCGGTAGTCATTTCTGCCCTGAAATTTTCTAGGTCTTTTGATGATTTTTATATCCAAATCTATATCCAAATTAAAGGAGGAATATGTGTGTGTGTGTGTGTGTGTGTTTTGACTAGGTGGGAAGGAAAGAAACAAGAAAGGCATCAGAAAGGCACCCCTTTGCTAGGGGCATGTGGGAGCCCATGAAGCCCCCATGCCCTCTTCTCTCCCTTGTTCACCAGTTCTAATATATGCAAATGTTAAAGAAAACCAACAAACTGCCCTTTATTTAGAAAGCATTTCATTAAAAAATACATATTTTAACATTAAAAAAAGTTATACAGCTTGCAACATCTTCACTCCATGTACTTTTCATAACTCTACCATGAATACATCTGCCTCCAGATTCAAATGAGCATACATACATATCATACTATAAGAGGGAGGTTCACAGGGCATATAATGCAGGATCACAGCAAGTGTCTGGAGCAGGGCTTTGTTACCCAAGTAATTAGTGACTCAGCTTCTCAAATAATTAACAGAGGCTTCAAAAGTTCAGACCAGCTGCAGCACTTCACCAAAAATATTGAGATACCCAATGTTAGCCCTCAGGAGGAAAAAGCGTAATAAACAACAGGTGTAGAAACTCTGCTGTGCAAGTTTATTTCTCATTGACTTAGAGCAGCATGTGCATTTGAGAACAAATTTCAGATGTTACTGCCAAACCTTATGTTTCAGCCCAACTGTATTTACAGATAACTGAATGGGTTTTCAAGAACTGCACTATATACAAAAATTCAGAAAACCGTACATCAGTGAAGCTCTTACTTCCCCTCTACCAGAAAAATCAACGTGAAAACTGTCTTTCAACCCTTGAATAGGAAATGCACCAGAAAGCTTTCATGTGGCATTCGTTCTGTTGGTGGCTTAAAAGACAGTAGCAAAGTTTAAGTCAAATAACGCATCTAGAATTAAAAGTAGAAGTACGGTATTAAGACTTGAAAGTTGAGTCTGACTGTAGAACACATTCAGTTACTTTATCCTAATGGCAGGCAACTGCTTCTTTCTGAGAGATCTATTTGGCAGACCACATGCTACAAGCATTTAAAAACTTTTTCAAATTATGTGATGTTTGAAGAAGAAAGCAACTACCTAGGTCAGAGAAGAGCTGTGTAACGCTGAGTAGTGGATAAGCCTGTCCTGTAATACACTGCATCATGCCCTTCCTAATCTAAACACTGCTTGTTTTCTGCTTCTCCTGGAAGGAGTCTAGATCCACAAGTCATCACAAGTTGGCCTTTTCAGAAGGTCAGTTATTATAAGATGCATCCAAAGTCTTCTTAGACATGTTGGGCGGGGAAGAACTGAGAACTGCAGTAAGCCAGATACAAAAATACAAGTGAGAGTAGCCCTTTAATTGAGCACTTCAGTAAAATGGCTAGACTTAATCCCTGAATGGTACCAACAGAAACAGGTTAATAATTTCCTTTTGTTGCAGCGAGTCTGCCAGTATGTACCAACAGTCCCAAACCTTTATTGGTTGTCAGTTTCCCAAGAAGCTGGCATTCTTTTCCCAGTAACAATCATCTGATCTGCTGTAAGCTTACAGTCACATAACTATTTTCCACTGAAGGAAGATAAGACCTCTTCGGACCTGTTACAGGCAACTTTACGTCAGAGTATTCATACATACAAAACTCTCACAAACCCAGGAAAAAAAGTTAGTTGTTAACCAACTGTAAGATTTTTCCTCAGTCCTTCAGAGATTCTCAGGAAAGCAGGTCACTTGAATACTAAAAAAAAAAAAGTCTTATTAAGTGCAAGGAGTTACCACACAATATGAAGATATCACAGTCACAAATTACAAAATATCACATACTGCTGCTGGGAAAGGACTACGTTAGGGTCATCATACATCCATTCAGTGGTACACTCAAATAAGATGACACACAGCAAAAGTAACAGTACTACCTTGAAGATCTGTAGTAGTGTGATTAGAGTGAGTAATAAGTTTCAGTGCAGCATCCACAAAGGCAAGAATTTAATAACATCACTAGCCCAGTACAGAAAAGTACAAACGTAAAGTATAAAACAGTTTAACAAGTCACAGGCACAATGAAAATAGCCAATTACCTTAAATTCATCTCCATAACCAAGTTTCCCTGCAGTGCAGAAACAAGCTTTACATCAGTAACTGTGATCATAGTACAAATACGAAGGTGTCAAATTTTTAGGAAGGTTCATTTTGTAATGATTCTTGGCCTGGTAATAGTGACTGTCTTAAATTTCAACTTAAATTTCAGTATCTTTTCAATTGTGCCTAGAGGCTTCTATTTTCAGTTTCTTTTCATCACACTTAAGATTACTGCTCAAGTTTTATAGACACATATACATTACTGCAGCTAGAGTTGGACACTCAAAGTACTAGTAAAACTAGGTAAAAAAAAAAAAAATCAGCTCTTGTGGCTAGCCATGGTTGTGATAACATTAATAATTGACAACAGAACTAAAGTGTCACAGAAATAGGTTCTTTTCTTTCTACTTCCTAGGGAGTGGATCCACAGAATCAGAGATCAGGCTTAGTAACTGTGGTTGCTGTGAGGAAGCGCGAGGCTTCTATCTACCCCGCACCTGCTCTGCAAATAGAAAGAGAACTATGATGTTGAATGCTTTTCAGTGACATACTTAAGAGCCTTTTATCTATTTCATATTTTTTCACCCCAGCTTTTTTAGTTTTAAGACGTACTTACTTCCAGAGGACTTCCAGCTGTAGCTTGATAGTGCCCAGTTCAGTTATATCCACAATGATTGCTTGAGGCTTGGCTGTAAAGAAGTTTATGCTGTCACATGTCACGACACCAACTAGAACTGTGGCCAGTCCTCGCAGTTCTGTCACCTGCTAGGACAGACAAATATATCCGTTTTCATCTCAAAAGACAACCCTAAGAGTCAAGTGCATGGAAAGGAAATCATCCCTGGCTCAGATCTGCTCAGATGCCCAAACAAACTTAAAACCCTGATCTCTGATCCTAAACTGCTGTGAGCCAGTATTCCAGAAAGAATACACCATGGACTGTTCACAAAAAAAAAATAAAAAAAGAGAGGTTCAAGAGTAGAAGACATACAGCTGTACAGTACATCTAATAACAGAAAGAGGAGGACAGTGTGAAAAATATTGGTCAGACTTTCATAAGTCAACCAAAAGCATAAAGCTTTATTAGCTCTTCTAAAACAAAGTGATTGCCTCAGAAAAAACTTGTATTGCTTTACAACTATTATGAGAAAACAGCCTCTCAATTACCCTCTCACCCCATCTACATCACACAGTGGTACCAAGAGAGGTGTTATACAGATACCAGGTTCCAACCCAACCATTACACACCACACCTTGATTTCAAACTGCTCATGGAGATTGGGTATAAAGATCTTTTCTTCTTCATCCCACGTTTGGCTGTCATCAGTCTCGATCTTGCCTTTCAACCTCCATTTTTGGCGCCCCAGTCGCACAGAAACCTGGAAAAAACAAGGAGGAAAGATGTTAGGTCAGCATATTGCCAAGGCCTTGCTCTCATCAAGAGAGTGAACAGTTCTACCATAGCCTGTTTCCCACTTGCCTTCTACACGCTGTACCCTTGCTCTCCAGTTCCTCAACTACAAATTCACAGCAATAACATAAAGGACAAAATGAATCATTATATACTGCACCTCATACTGGTCACCTGGGCAGAGACGTGCAAATCCCACCAAGCCTGAAAAGAGAAGAAAAGCTCCTAATATTTGAAGAGTTTTACAGTGTCCCAACAAAGCCTCACTAAAGCAGTCAATAACTCCTTGCACTTAGCCTCATGCAGAAGCTATCCCACTGGGCCAGAACTCCTTGTCAGCTTTTGTACTCAAATATAAAGTAACATTCTAGATCTGTTTTACAGCACTGAAGCAAACAGAGGTTCACCAAAAATTCTGGTCAGGGTCAGACACAGAAAACACTGGAAGCAACTCACATTAATTTCGGGTTTCCTAGGTAGAAACCTGATTCATTTAGAGTCTATTTATTGAACTAATGAGTCTTGAAAGCAATGTGACAAGAACATACCTTTCATCTTCAAGTGAAACTCTCCTAAATGGACCTCTAACGCCCCTTCTATGAAGCACATGTCCTAAAAGAAAGACTGAACAGTCAACTAGGACTGAAAAGCAGAGTGAATATAGTAGCGCCCTTTCCATACATGTCATGTTCTTATGCTATCTTTAAATGTCTTTGGCTTATATTTATTTTATATAACAGACTAACACTTGCACTAGTGGAGGTCAATGGAGAGAACATTCATACCACTGTTAAGATAGGAAATCGCGATGCCTCTCCACAAAAGAGTGGAACTTTCAATCAGTTCATCTTCACTTACTTTGCACTGCTTGTTCTATAAAAATAGCATAACTTACACATTTTTGAATCCAATACTCATCACGTTACTTCCAGTGGAAGTCACAATGGACACCAACATTACAGCAGAAATGCAACAAGTTTTTCATTTGTCTTCACAGAATCATAGAACTGCTCTGATTGGAAAAGACCTTAAAGATCACCAAGTCCAACCGCAACCTAACCATACCACCCTAACTCTAACAACCCTCTGCTTCATGAGAACTTGAAGCCAAACTGAGTAGTGGACAAAAAAGGAGGAAATCAGAGCTTTGCCTGAAAGGTTATTTATCTCATGAGTTTCAGTTCACATTATGTACGTATTTTAGTCATGTTAAGTTTCTAAATCCCCATTACTGGAAAAGACATCAACAGCTCCCGATGGCTTTTTTTGCTAAGCAACAGTCAGGTCTTCGCTACGCATTAGTGGCACTTCCTACCTCTGTACACTCCTGAAAGTTCTTATAGAGCTCCACTAGGCTCTCCCTGGAGGCTTTGGTGGAAGGAGACAAGGAAAAGGCACGTTTCATATTAGTGGCGCCATCTCGTAGTCTGCACTGGATACAATAAGCTTCATAGAGTTCTTCTACCTTTAAATTTGTGGATGATTTCAATAAGGAACATTGTCAGTCTTTAATGGAGGGGAAAAAAAAGAAGACCCACAAACAAAACCCATTATCTTAGTACTGCAACATGCTGCAACTCATGCATTTTACAGATTGGTAGCAAGGTAACTGTTTATATTCCTGAAAACAAAGAGGAGGGGATATTGAGAAATAATCTGCTCTACAATTATTAGAGTAGAAGACAGGAAGTAGAGTAACACCTTGTTAACAGCAAAATTACAAAACAGGAAGCTGATTCTCTTAAAACACATTAATACACCTACAGCTTTAGTCATGTCTAAGGAGATTTAATTCTTTCGAAGCAGACGTGCATATTTCAGAGGTGATAGGGGATAACATGTAAATGTCCTAAAAGCAGAAGTACTTTCTGGAAAAACTGGCTGAGTATACAAATTGGTTTCACAGGCAAACATTCAGCCTGAATAGAAACATTCAAGAAAATAAATAAAAATCCCCTTCTTCCATAACAGAGTGGTTATAGCTTTCAGAAAGTATCCAGTATCATTTATCTTTAGAAAAACTATCATCAAACTATTTTCTATTCAGAGAGTTTGCTTATATAGAAAGGTCTCACGCATACAAGGCAAAATTCCCTTACTTTGCTTATGTGGAATTCCAGTTTTCTAATGTATCTCTCCACAGAGCGAATTTGCTTTTGAAGTAAGTAGGTAGGTAGAGAGAGAGGAAAACCTTGATTAGTTTTTTCAGTATTTCCTAAACAAGTCTTTAAGTAACACAGTAAGCATCATTACTTTTTCCATTTTTGCAATACTCACAGTGCTTACCTTATCAAGGTCATAGTAGAAGGCCTGAAAGACAAATAGCACAAATTGAACAGAAGATCACATCTTTGTATCAAACTAACAACATTTTTATAATTTATGATGGAACTCACCATGCGTTTAATCTAAATGCACTCAATTAATGTGTACTGTTTACTACAAGGAGACAGCCCAAAAAACTTTAGAAGCAGTCTCGTTTTCTGTGTGTGGTTGGTTTGCTTCCCTAACTCCACCACAGATGCTTGAATTGAGACAGCAGCCCTGTCACCTTTAGATGTAACAAAGACTTGGATGCGGTCACAGCACATAGGACTTTATTTTTTTGCCTATCATTTCCCAAACGAAAGGAATTCCGATATGTGAGTTATCTTCTCATTAACACTGTTGCTGAAGGTACTTTTAGGGAGTTGTGAACAGAGCAGAATCTATGTTGCTAAGATACATTTATCAGCTATTAAAAACAAAGTGTGGTCTTTCTATTTCAGACTTGAGGAAAAATAACCCTAGTTAGAAAAGGAGTGTGATTTAAATAACAAAGGTGGATGCTGAAAGAGGCAAATTTCAAGTTCAGATCTAAACATAATTTGCTCCATAAATTCTAGATTGTGATGATTTGCTGGATCTCACCTCAGTGCTTTAACTAGAAAACCCCCAAGAGTTCAAAATGTGAGAAATATCATCTATTTTTGTGCCAGCCTTTTAAAATTCACTTAGTTATTAAGATCTACATACCAATCTGGAGTTCCTTTTTGTATCTTTGTGTCGATCAGAAAGATAATCCAATTCAGCCTGATGTGCTTCTAGGTACTCACTGGAGAGAAAGAAAACCAGAAGCATTACGTTTTTCTGGTACATTCATTATGGTATCTTCTCAAATATTTTTTTCAGCAGAATGTTAAAAAAACAAATTCCTTCTCTAGAAATTTCCCTTTTCTTCTCTAGAGGGATAAATGACTTTACAGATGGACATGGACCAACAGATGAGGAAGAGCAGCTTCCATTGGTAATTATTTGTTCTCAACGCCAAGTTATTCCTAGAAGATCAGGAGACAGATATACAGAAGCACCTGTAAAAGAGGAACCTAGGTCCACTAAAATCTCAGAATACTTTTTGTGAGGTAGAAAAATCTGTTCATTTGTTCAGCAAGTCTTTTATTACAGTTATGGAGGAGTAGGTCTTCATCAACCAACTCCATCTTAAAAAAAAAAAAAAATAACCTGCAGCATTAACCATTGCATTACAGAATGAAACTTACAGAAATACTCTGTATGCAAGGTAGGGCAGATATCATCCACTGTTTTAGTATGCAGAACTGAATACCACCTTTTAGAACACTAGACACTCCTTCATGCAACTGTCACTTTTTCCAGAGCAGGAACTATTTTGCAAAGTGTGAAGAACTTGACGCCAGTTGGCTTCTTTACAGCTGCTCGCATGCTAAGGTTGGCCCTTAAGAATTCTTATAAGGCCTTTAACTATTTCTGCTGAGAATATCTCCTTCCAATTCTGCTTTTAACGCAATGTGTGTTCCTCTCACTTTTAAAAGGGAATTAAAGCCACTTGGTATATACTATATAAGACACAGTCACAGAGCAGTTAAAATAATATCACACTAGTCAACTACTCTTCAGGTTTGCTTTGATGCATTTGATTGTCTTACTGTTACAAGATCAGATCACCCAAGGTTCTCAATGGTGGAGCATTGAGCTGCCTGCTCATCACACTTGCCCATTAATAGCTCGCTGCAGGAGCATCCAGCACTGTTGGCAGGGAAGTTTGCTTTCCTTTTAGGAGAGCTTTGTCACTTCTAGGTTAAAGCATGTGAATGCTGCCAGCTTGATGGAATGGTACCCAGATGGTTAACAGAAGAAAGTTATTTGCTACAACTATTAAGAAAGAGGCACACATAACATTCTGTACTGAAAATTCAAGTTACTCCAGCACCAAGCAGTCTTAGTCTGTATCTACTTAAAATTTGGACTTCACATTGCCATGTGATACAGTTGTTTTCCGTAGGTTACTTTAGTCAATTAGTTAGCTGCTCACTTTTGGCAGGAGTCTGATCACATGGCGCTCTCTGCAGAGCTGGGAACAAACTCTGATCCACTTTATAGTTTCTCCTCCCTAAACTATGCTAAATTCTAAACTCTGCAAAAACATTCAATTCCGTTATTTGTTTTAAATCTAAATTCTAATAAGACATCTACTGATTCTTTTATTTATTTTAGGACCAAGACTTCATAGTTCTTTATTTGGGGAAAAAAAAAAAGTGACACTTGAGAGCATCATGTAAGTTATTAGGGTGCTTTTCATGCTCTTAAGAAAACTATGATCAGAATTAACACAGCAGCAAAAATTCTGAGGAAAACAAAAAAATACAGGAACAAACTTCACAGGATGCCAACAGGAAAAAGATACAAGTTTTGCAAATCCAAGGGATGTTTTTTATCTTCTAACAGCAGCCTTAGAGCATAAATGAAGTTCCTACAGTATTAGACCATGTTCACTGACATGAACTCCAATGATCTAACACGTATATTTTCATATAGTAAGGTCTGTGGATGCAGTCTAAAGTTTTAGTCACTGGTGGAGTCAAAGACGGATACAAATTATATCATTATAATTATATATGTGGCATTATATCACCACATCTTACTACAGTCTGTAATACCAAGAATGCAAGCTCACCCATATTTTATTCGCCATTTAAGCACTGAGTAATATCAGCATTTCAGTGATGAAACTGACAGCTTCCTCAAAGCCAGAAGACCCCAAATCCACACTGCCAGCCCTCTTTGATTTCTGTTATGCCTGCTGCATACACCCATGTCTACCAGACAGAGAGAACATACAAATTGGACCTTTTGTCCTTTTTAGTCAAATTCATACTATTGCAGCATTGTCCATGTGGTCTGAAACAGTACTAGCTTTAAAGCAATAAAATTGAAGTAAGGAGCTTAATCTTGTTAGTACTGCCATTGGAAGATGAGGTTATGCTATAGATTTGTTTCATCACCTCAAGTCAACTAGGTTTTTCATATGGATCTGCTCAGACCTACACCTTACAACAGCTCTATAATATCTTATGTGTCATGTAATCTGCATAGAGATAACAGAAACAGCTATTTCTGTTACAGCTCCTCCTCTAGAAGCTTTCTTCAAATTACCTCCAAAATCCAGCTGTCCTACCCCTCTTCAATTATCTTCTTTATCTTCAGGCTTTCTGCTTCCTACTCTGTATCCTCTGAAAGCCTCCCTTTCTTGAGATAGCTCAGTTGCTCCAGAAAAAAATAGGCAATTTCCCAACAGAGTTTTACTTGTCACTGATTTTTTTTTTTTTTTTTTTTAAGAAGTATAACAAACAAGGAACAAACAAGGAACAAACAAAAAACATCAGAGGACCTCAAACATTTTGTCTGTGAGCAGATTGGCTGAGCACAAACGAAACTGTTGTATTCCAAAATTTCAAACCAGTGCCTAGAGAAGTTATTATGTAAATTTAGGTATGACAAATGGAGACAGAGAACAACATGATATACAGAGTTAAGCAGCATGACTAGGTATGGTAAGTTACAGTATTTAAGAGTCCTTACTTAAGTCCTTTCTTCAAAGCTTCAAAAATTTTCTTCACCTGCAGTGGTTTTGGATCCCAGATGACTGCCCCTTTCTGCAGTGAAGAATAAGCCTTAGGGGATTTCAATGACATTCTTGATCTTACTGAGCTTCTGCTGAGAGACTTTCTGTAGGAAAAGAAAGGAAATAAGGAAGAGATGAAAAATGCACCACCTGGAAGAAAAGAGATATCTAACCTACAGTTAGCTTCCAGGCTACAAGTTATATGCCCCATCCCACATAGCTTTATTGAAAAGAATAAAGCTCTTGATACAGCAAGAACACTTTCACAGATAATATTAGAAAATTAATGCACAGCGTCAAATACCTAATGCAGACAAGGCACAAATTCTTTCGTGACTCCAACAGAACTAAGAAATGGCTGCTAGAAGCAGACTTAAGGAAGAGCCCTCAGGCAAATAAACTGTAAACAATCACATTGTTATCATTTCTCTTAAGCCTTGCTTGGCATTAGCTAAGTCTCTGATTCCACACACACATTCACACTGGCTATTGAGCTAACTACAGAAACAGTCACGTAAGTCATGCTGCAGGACAGGATCACCCTCATTCTGTCTCTCATCTGCAATCCAGTAAAGTAAGGCAACAAACCTTTGCTAACAACTACGAACCAGAAGTAGATTTCAGGAGAATTCTACTCTCCAGCTACCAGTAAACTCTAGAGAAATACCTAAAAATTTACATTTCTAAACATTCCCTTGGGCACAAGTACAGAGTAGAACAAACACACATGATTAGCCTTAAAACATTACCAAGAGACTAGATAAGCTATTATCTTTTGGACTGACAAAGCTAACATAAAAAAGCCTTTAGAGTTCTTTGCCAACCTTCATCAACCACTGAAAAGATCATTTAGACCCCCAACATATTATAGGAAAGCCTACTGCCAAGCTCAGGTTACATACAAGATATAATTATCAAAGTGTTTTTTCCAGTATCTAACACCTCACTTACTTTAAAAAGCAGCTGCAAAAACAAAATTAAATACCATCTCTAACAGAAGTCACACACAGGGCTATTTTCACTAACCTGAGGAATTACAACACTCTATCTATATTCTCTTTCAAAGTCTCAATTAGTTTTATCCAGCTTTGTTAATATTCCCCAAAGGCCAAGCTTCTAAAATAACATTGACTTAAAGAAGGTTCCTATTCCATGAAGCTGAGACAACTGGTTGCATTCAGAGAAGCTTTCCACCTTCTCTATTATTTCCATCCTAAATTCAGTTCACCTGGGAAAATGGTGAACTCAAATAGACTTAATAATTATCCACTGGTTGCCGTAAGGTGTAGGCATGTGACTCAGTGCCTAATGAGATTATCATGCTGGGTGATGGAACAGTTATCCTGGTGCTCAGTTTCTGCTTCTTTTCTTTTAACATCTAATCTGCTGCCACAGATCACTAGACATTTAGTTTCTTCACCCCAATGATTTCTTAATTATTTTTTAATTAAATTAAATTTAATTAAATTAATTATCTTAAGTGACTTTTTTTTTTTTAATGATGGCTTAATGTAAAGCATTGATCAATGAAATCATTTTGAGCTTAGGTTACCTATACCAAGAACATAAATGCTAAATTAAAAAATCACGATACCACTGTGGGTTTTTTTCCCTCTAAAATAACAAATCTTTGAGTATTTCATGCAAAGCGAGAGGCTTTCAGTAGGAATAACACTGGAAGTAACAGTCCAGCCACTAACAACAGTTAAAACCATCTCCTGGAATGATCACTAATTAAAATTCCTTCATACAAAGAAGAAAATAGCATCCATATTCATATTTTAGATAAGTATTCTAAATGGCAAGGTACCATACAGAACATAATTCTATCTTTTGAAATTAAAAAGCCCAAATTACTCTTGTTTTTATTTGTTTGGGGGGATGAAAGGCTTTGGTGTTTACCTTCAGAGTTTTGGGCTGTGAAGCCTAAATTTAGGAAACCACCTTCCTTCAGTTTCAAGTATTGCATGTGTATGGGAACTGCTGAGTCACGGCCTGAACCTCTGATTGATCACCTGAGGCGAGCACTGAGTCAGCCCTGGGAGCACAGGTGAAGGCAATTCAGCTGTGCTGCTGGAAGGGGTGGAGCCTGGCTGCACCCCTCCTAGACCTATTGAAGAGCTGGCTGCCAGTGGGGAAGGATCTCTGCTGGAGATCGCCTCTTCTGGTGTTTTGTAGGTGAGCCCAGCATAAAGGTAAGCCTTCCATTTATTCTCTTTTGTTATCATTGTCTACTTTGCCTAACTCTCTTGATTATATTGTGATTGTAACATCTTGATATCCATTGATTATACAGCACGTAAACAATAAATAGGGATGGACTGTGATTTAAAACTCACTTTTCTCCAATATCTTCTATGTGACATAGCCAATAGGTATTACTCAGGACACTGATGTTTAGAATCCTATTTTCATACATTGAATAGAAATGTTGAATATAGCTAGCTTGGGATTTTAAGGACAGCACTTAAAGGTGGCTGCTATGTTACTGCTTTCCCTGGTGAACTTAGTAATGTAAGTATCAGATTTCCTATTTTATAGGTAACAGTAATAACGTTTCCTGTGGAGACCAGGGCGAAGAAAAATTAAACAGTGTGTCTGATTGAGAGCCTCAGAAAGTTGCTAAACAAATACAAAAGTACATTTAGCATCTGTTTAAGAATCCACGCGGACCTGATTTGTGTGTCACCCTTTGAATAAACCTTGCATTGGGCCCCTGCAGTCTCCTGCTGTGTTTTGCAACATTGCTTGAGAGAGAATTAAGTTAAGAGAGGGTAATTCTAAGACTTACCACGTTGGAGAAGGCTCCACGTTTGCCAGGTTATGATTGAGTAGCTAGTACAAAGATCTCTCTTAATATCATGATTCCTGAACAAAACTGTTTGACTGAACACTTAAATAACAAAAAGGAATATAAGAAAAAATATACGATACGTAGAAAAATGTATAGGCATTTGGCTAGAAAGCCACTGCAGCTAGAAATAACAGATTTATTTTAAGGGATAAAGACGTTTTTCTGTTTTGAGCATTCTTAGACTTTCCTTATTGGAGAAACAGCTGTACCCCTTTCCTGGTAGATCCTTTCTCTGCTGCAATTCCCACAATGTACTTGAGCTCAAGTCTGTTTATGTAATTTATTACCAGTGCTTCTTCAAGATCATTGGTGTAATTTCAGATGTTTAATTCTTGCTGAGTGTAGGACTATTTTCCAGCTTCCACAACAAATTAATTTACTCCAATACAAAGACTTCTTGATCATATCGCAGTCATGCTGGAATTCCATTTCTGGACATATCTTGTACCTTACTATGATATGTTTACCTAAAAGTTAATGTAGTCTTTTGGTTCTTTGAAAACACATTTTACTAAACAAGTCCAGAATTTTAGTGATATACACCTCGATTTTTTTTTTTTTTTTTCAGTACTCTAATACTTTTAGAGGCACTTTCCAATAACTCTATGATACCTAGAAATAGTTTACTTTGTTTTTACTCCAGTGTGCACTGGCAGCCAGAGATGATACTACTTTTAATTCGTATATCACATCTTCAAAAAGCACTCCACAGGCTATACAAATAAATTAGGGATCACTAAATGCAGAAGAACAAGAAGAACACTTCTAGAGCGAAAAAAAGCTGGATAGTCATCTGCATAAAGCAATGCTACACAACTACATAAGATAAGCAAAAAGGGAAAAACAGTGCTGGGTGGTTTAGCAGTTGCTATGTTGGACTGAAAACCGAAAGATTGGATAGCAACCTTGGTTATACTGTTGACCTGTCACTGACAGTAGTGAATTTGCAGTAGCCTTCTTGACCTCTCTGTCTTCCACCCTTGCTCTTGTTTGTGGCATTGCCAGAAAGCAGTCCCTCCTCTTGTGTTTTGCTACTCTGCTTAAATAACTCCAGGAGAGTTTTAGTCAAGCTCAATTACATATTTTGGCAGGATTCACCATTAATATCTATCTTTTCAAAGGTCTATGAGATTTTTAATTACCATAGCTATTCTGAACACTTTCCATTTTATCAGAACACTGGTATTAGCCAGAACATATCCATTATTATAAGGGTCATTAGAACAGGCCTGAAGGAAAAATGTCTCCTACTAGAGGACTAATACTAATTCTTGAGCACACTGAGATCCCAAGAACTAATTTCTGGAAATTAGAAAACTGGTTTTTTAAAATGACACAGGTAAATAATATTAATTTTAGTATCAGACCTACTTCAGCATTTGCAAGTGAGGTCATCTCTGCAATCATATCCGCTTTCGAGCTCCAGTGAAGTGGAGGTTAGTAATTACAACAGTCTCTGTAGCACCTTTCAGACTGATTTTTTTTTTTCTTTTTTTTTTTCTTTTTTTTTAAGAAATGGATGCTATCTAGTTTCTGATACATAACTTCTCTCACAGATCAGAAATCCAGCCATCTCTAAATTACAGTGTGTACAGCAGTAAGATAATACAATGTGAAGTGTAACTGTTAACACTGATCATGACAAGAGTCAATAGTTTTAAATAAAAAATGACTCCTATGTACAGATGTTTTGTGTTGAAAAATACATTCCTAGTATGTAATATTTATTGTCTGGCAGGTCAGGTACTTTTTTGATTGTTTTACTTACGCTAATTTTCTGCTCTGCACAGTGCTGAATCCAGTGAAGGAACAACTCCTACTGATACCACCTCCATCACCAGAAGAGACGAATGTGAGTTTGACCGACATGACCCCAATCAGTAAGTCTGCTGGATTCTGAAATAAACAGAAAAATAAATGAGTTGAAACCTTGGCAGTTCAGACTTACACCTGCGCTGTTGCAAGTGCTGAGCTGCAAGAAAGTGGAAAGCCAGAAAAAATGCAGATTAAATAGGAAAAAAAAAACACTTGTCTGCTATACACGTTTCCTCTGTTGCCACGCACAGAATCAAAGAATCACCACGATTGGTAAAGACCTCCAGGACCATCAACTCCTACCTAGCACCAATACTTCCTCACTAAACCACGTCCCTTAGCACAACCCGTGTATTTCCACATTGGTTTGAATGCCAGAAGAATACTCAAGCTCTCAGCTTGGTTAGGTCCAAAAAGTAGTACCTTACATCTGTGCAGAGCCACACTCAAGTCTGGCAGAACCAGCTTGAGTGTGGTACTTAAGCCCAGAGCTGAAGTCTGGTTTCAACAGTAAATTTCTTTTCCGTGCTGCTCCTCCAGCAAGATCTCCTTCAGATTGCTGTTTTCTGTTTTCCATCAGTCAAACTCTTGCTTTCTGGAGAACTGTGCTCTTTGCCACATGTCAACAGAATCCAAGTTACAATGTAAGTAACAGACATCTTCCTCAAAGCAGCTGCAGAAAATCACTCAGGCAGTTAATATACACAAGAATTCCTTTCCTTCTCCCCTCAAGCTGGTGTAATGTAAACACCACAACTAGCAGCTTTGGTTTTAATGAGGCCAAAATGGGGGCCAAACCCTAATTTCCTCTCTTAGTTCGTGCTTCTGACTCACAAAAAACGTGAAATTACTGAGAATTCTTAACTGATTAAAAGAAAATATGATATAAATTTGCATAGAGAAGAACAAACTCCTACAGAGAGCTCTAAATGCAGATGCTCCATGGAAAAGTTTTTCCTCTATTATGAATGAGCTTCAAAGATTAGTGAGATCACCCAATCTATCAATGTAGATACTGGAAAGCAGCACCTCCACTAAACCCAATGTCCTTACATTATCCCAGCAGCATAAGTACAGCTATCATAAAATCATAGAACAGAATTCAGACTAGAAGCCACAAAGTGTCAGGATAAGACTTTTCTTGGCTCTGCCACTAACTTGGAGAGCAATCTAACTCAATATTCTTCCAAACTGCATATAAAGAACTGAACAGTTGAACAATACTATCCAAGAGGGATGAAATTTCAGCGCTTTGCTGAATCTGGGCTAGTCTACAGGTACACAGAGAATTACTGTAAGTTACTATGCTTTAGGTATCCTTACACAACAAAGTAGTAATTAAAGCTGTCATGAGTTTTTGTTAGTAGTGAGAATTGATTAGTTCTTTCAAAGCCACTCAGGGCTACAAGTTGAGGTCAAAGACTCCTATTTCATTGCCTGTCCTACAAGTTCTGACAAGCTCATGAATAAATCCATGGGAAAAAAAAAGGAAAAAACATTTTAGAACAGGATATGAGAATGACAAATTTGAGGCAAACAGCTATGTGCTTTGCAAGCTACCTAGTTTGTTAAATAGAAGAAAAATGTTGGGGATAGCTAGTGGTTTTATATGTCAGGGCGCTGAAGCTCACAGAACTCCATAGCTTCAGCAGCATCAACAGAAATCTGTTACATACACAAATATAGGTGCACATTAATCACATTTTTATCAATTTCTTCAGGCCCCTTGTCTTGAAATGATGCCTCTTTAACACCCCTAAACAGACAGCATACTCGCGTCACATCAGATTTGATGTTTCAAAATATTTTCCATTCTTTCCTCTAGTTTTCAGACGCTTCTGTCTGCAGTTATCCCATCAACAGGATTGTTACATTAAAAAAAAATTCTGCAACTCACTGAAAAATGTCATTGCACAATGAGCTGTTAAAGGAAGAAATGAAATGAATAGCCTTAGAGTTACTCACCACGTCCCTCCTGAAGGCTGAGAGATTTCCAGGAACAATCCCTCAGCTCCCTGACCTGGGAAGTTTATTTCGTGAGTAAATGGGAAGGAGGAAATGCAGGAAAAGCATGTGTGATCTTACAAGATTCCTAAAGCCTTTATCAAATGAGACTGGAAGCTTTTCAAATAAATATATATGAAACAAACTAAAACAGAGAGAACCTTAATGGGGAATGGGAAATGGAAAATGAATTTTAAAAAAGTACTCCTGAAGTAAAAATGCGTGGTACTGAATTGTAGATGTGAAGAGGTGAGTTTGAAATGTACAGACTCAAACCTCAGTTGGTGAAAGAAATAAATTGCTTAAACTGCCTAGATTTGCCACGTGTTTTAATAAACCAAATACAATTTCTGACACGCTCATCAGTAAAAGAGAGGAAAGATGAATTGGATCTCACTTATGCATAACCATAAGCACTTACAAATACTGGTAGGTTGTTTTTTCAACAGCACAGTGTTCAGTGCTCCAGGTCACTTACTGTGTCATGCCCAGCTGCCATGGACAGCTACCCTCAAATACAGTTCTCAAGCACATTTTCACAGTTCCTTTAAGAATGAGAGAATCTGAATAATGTTAGGAAAGCACCCTTAAAGGGATTATCTCTCTTACCTTTGAATAATGCTAATAAAGTCAAATACCTCATGGTATTCACCTGCATATACAATATTGGTAGTAACCTAGGAATGTAACAGCTCATTTCATACGCAGGATCTGACAAGAAGGCTATAAGAAGGATGTCATGGCAACATTTTAATAGTAAGAGAGATTTACAAATGCAGTTGTTTAAACATGGGTTTGCTAGCCAGAGTATCTGTACAGAAGTGCTGAGCTATGTTACAACTGCCGTGAGAAACAGCATCTGGACATGTCTCAAATTCAGCTGTCCCCTTAGGCTAAGAATAAATCAGATAAGGACACCCCACGCACTGCTTCCACAAGGCCAAGTCTCTGTCTTCAAAGGTGTAATCTCTGCTCCATAGGTCAATGTCTTCAAAACTCTTAAATACCAGGATTATACCCTGGGGAGCAGAGGTACTTCCTCACTCTTAATCTTCCCGAAAAGCACAGAATGTGAATACAGTAGCATGAGGCTGGCATATGTGGAGCATGAAAACAAATGTCCAAAGTGAAGGAGTTTACTGCCAGAGGCAATAGAACAACAGAATAAACAACTGGAATAAAACAGAGCATCTTCAGAAAGTCTTATAATGTTTCTGAATCCTAAACAGACGTATAAACTGCTACGTACTCAAATATATTAATACTTGCAACATTGTGAGATTGAGATTTTCAAGTCTTAGAACACAGGTTTGTAATATAGATCAAGAGGTTTTTTTGTAAAATTAAGGGAGTGTGCTTATCTGTACTTCGTATTTCAGTAACTTGCCATGTCCCAATAGACTATTAGCATCTCACCCTTACTATGACCAATTATTCAGACATACAGGGATAAATGTTTGAGTTTTTATGTGCAGCAATGAGTCCGCTCAATCTGCATGTTCTCCTCAGTTAGCACTAGGGGATTACTTAGGCCAAAGGACTTTCATCTTCTACAAAACAAAAATTGGTGTCTGCGTTTGTGGTTAAACTTATCCTACCCTAGTCACATACTTAATTGTTTTAGGGCACAATGGCTTCAACAGTTTTATGTGGAAAACATGACTCACTGACTTATTGCAAAATACTTCTGCTTGTGTTTTGCACTTTAAACTAGTAGCCATGACTTTCTTTTAGAGGTTCTCTTGAACTTGGTAAACTACTGCTAGAGTAAAGTATTCATACTTTCTTAATGTTGGATTCTTTCCATTTGAGAATGACCTTTCAGTTAAGAGACACACTTCTTTCTAGTTGTGCATCTGCAAAAAACTGTACCAGACTTCTGTTTCTTTCAGCTAACTGTGGAAACTTGCATCACACCAACAGCCTGGGCAACAAGTAGCTCTGTATTTCATTAGGATGTTGGTACCCATTGTTCACTGGCTTCAACAAGCAGCAGCTCACAGACTCGCAGACTAAAAACCACATAGAAATCAAGTAAATTATTAGTTACTATAGAAAACACTGCAGAACAAGACTGTTTAATGATCAATGTAAAGTGATTTTAAGAACCCATTTGTGATTCTGGAAACATGTTGTGATCATGACAATTTGCCTGATATCACTTCATGCTAACATTTTCCTTTATTATTGCTCTTATTTTTGTACATAATTTTGTTTGAAAAGTTACATTAGCTGTACTTGGGAGGATGAAAGAGCCATTCTATCTTCTTGTAAACTGAGTTAATTTAATTTTGCACATAACAAACGTATTTTCACAACATAACCCTCTTCTCAGGAAAATCCTCACATTGGAGGGATGCTAACTACAATGTCTTTTTAGTGCAGGGTTTTAGAAAATTCAATTCTCCCCCACGATAACCATACAAATTTGCTGTTTTTGGTTCTATAACATTTCTCCCAAACCTCAGTTTTCACTGTATATAACTAATACAAGATGAACATCTAAAGACTTTGGAAACATACAATATTGTCAAACTATTTGAACGAAGTCTGAGGGATGTTTGGACTGAGCCACTGAAGCTTCTTCCTGTGATTTCAATGTACCTTGGAGCAGGCTGGAAATTTCTAGATCTCAGCACTTACTTTCCATCAGTGGAGATCCAAACAACCAATCTTTAAAGTTAATGAAACTCCTGCGATGTGACAGTGTCACAAGTCTGTCCTAATTACTCTAAACTTATACGTAATGAAGACTGTCAGAACAAAGAATGAAGTGACCGTCCTGCATACAGCACAGTGTTGAATTCAGTGGGAAAATAAACACTGTATTTAATCTTTGCTCTCAAGCATTCTTTAGGAAAACCACTGACCTCAGTAGCAATATCTATTTGCTAGAAAAACATTCCAAATTTATGATTAAAACCCCTTAACATTTAAGCATTTTTGTGCAGTTATCACACAAACATTCTATTTATACTGTTCTTGGCAGAACTAAGAAAAATTTCTCAGGCTATTTTTCTAGAGATTAACAGACACTTGATTTAGGGAGACCAAAGTGCCTTAGATGCTACATCTCAATGCAGCTATTCTAATTCAGCTTTAAACATAAACAGGGACCCGTTCTTCAGATACATCCTTTCCATGAAAATTTGCAGTGCAATGTGAATAGGCTTTATGTAACCCACTGCAACACAGAAATTCTGATTTCTGGATATCATTCATCTGAAACTGGCATCTGGCACCAACACATATAACCTGTAACTAGGCCACCATATAGGGCAACTACAAATAACAGAAAACCTATGCTTGATATTTTATCAAATTTATACGGTAGAACAGATAATGGTGACAGAAGTAGCTGCCTGCAATGAGCTTTTGAATATTGTTCCCCTGGTACATGTATTGTCCATTTCTGAACCACAAAGAACTAAATTTTGCCTTTTCTTTGCAATTTTCCTGCTCATCTCCTTCTCCACTCTGGTTCCTCTAATGAGAAGAAAACACAGTAGACGGCTGAGCTTGCTCAAGTTCTTTGCTGAAAAATGCAATCCAAGCAGGAAACCCTCTTGGTGCTGTGAAGTCCACTGGATTTAGCTGTATAGATCCACAAGCAATCATTCTTCTACCATATTCACCAGACATTTCTGCACTTTTAAGGCTGAGCAATATAAGCAATTACAAAGCAGCTTTGCAGCAAATGGAAGATTTTGCTTCTCTACATAACTGCACGAGCATTCCACAGTTTTTTGGCCTAAACACATCTAACTCAGATTGTTAGACAGGCCCCTTTCTTTGCACCACACTTCCATGTGTCTGATAGTATTTTCAACATCCCAAACGATTTGGGAATATAACTCCAATCTCAGTAATAATTTAGGATCCTAAGATCTAGTTACATTGATTTTTAATAATAAGTATTATATTACTATTTCACATTATTCAGAAAGATAGGGCCTTGAAGTATTACTCATTTAGGTACTTCTTAAAATATTATTTTTTTCTGGGCAGACTCAATTCTTAAGTATGTATTTAAATACTACATTTCTGACATAGTTTCCTCCTAGCTATATTCAAGCCATAAAGCCACAATCAGATAAACAGCTTTGATCCAAGTTACTGCTTTAGTCATTAGGCCTTTCTACAGCTTTATGCCAGCTTCTGGAAATGAAGTTTGCCATACAGCAATAAATTTAAATATCATAAGCAGTTACCTCAGAGAGCTTGAGTTAGGCTCAGAGAGCCTAAGACAGCTTCTCCTGTGCTGGAAGTAGTGTCTCTGTTGTAGCACTTCCAGTATAGCTCTTTGAACACAGGACTCAACTTTCAGGTCCAAGATGACCTGTTTTTCAAGCCTGCAATCCAATATGTTACTGTATTTCCAATTGCTTTTCATCTAAGCATACAGACCCAAGTTCTAATCTCAGTGACAGTGGTGCACAACCAGAGGAGATCAATCAGTCATTTATTCCAGACTTCTGCTAGAATCTGGGCAGCAAAAGTTGGCCCATATTCAGTTAATGATCTGGAAACTATTTTTCAAGGCACAATTTTGCGGTCAATTTTGTAACTCCCTCTAGTGGCAGCAGATATCAAACAAATGAGGCACAATAGAGACCTAGGCACATACTGCACACTGCCTGTAATAAGAGAAGGATCAGAGACTGCACATAGCCAAAATCCCCGTTTATTTCCTTTGCCAGTATGTGGCACGTTCATGTAGCCACATGCAGTTTCCCCACATTTTGCAGACATCACCGTTCTTCTGGTTGCTGTGAGTACTTCTGCACTAAGTTTTGCTTTCCTCTTCAGGGAAAGGCACAGAACAATCCACTCATTATCAGCTGATTTATGAGCACAGGGTTTGCTCCTAGCTTCTCTGGTTTCAATTTCAAACCTGATGACAAACTTGCAACTTGAATCAGAGATTGAGGAATGTAGCAGGCTCCACACGCTAGTCTGACTTGCAGCTTTTTCGGCATTGGCAGAATTTGACTCTGCAGTGAGCTACATTCTAATGAATACTTAAAAACAAATTCCTAACAATAGAAGAAGCAGATGGCTTTGGGAGAGAGCAATTTACAAGCAATGAAGTGGCTCTTCCATTTCTGACAAAGAAAAATTTGCCCAGCAGCAAGACACTGAATCCTACATTCTGTCTTTGGGAAGTCCCTCCTTCTTAATTAAAACCACCAAGGAAAATTCTTCTGTAAGATATTTCTCATTCTCCCAGCTTTCCCCAAACTATGCCTTAATATATGTACAGATAGACTTTCTGTACCTGATCCTGTTTTCATCCACCAGCTAATGCAGGAGCCTGCTATAAGGCAATTGCCAGGTCAATTATGAAATAAGAAATATCCCTTATCACAGCCTTAGGGTTGCATAAAACCCCAGATCTAAGCTTCAGCAGAATCCACTACAATGTGTGTGTATATATATGTACATATATATATATATATATACACATTCTGTCTATTACTCCAAGAAGGGTATATTAACCAAAACAGATGATAATCTTCCACTAATAGTGCAATGTGATGTTCTACAGGGTGTGGGATGTCTTCTGATACCTTCAAAAACTGAAGGCTATGAATCACACTGTAGTGGTATGTCCTGGGACATGCTTCTGAAGTAGGACAAACCATTTGTCATTGTGCCATCTGATCACAAAACTGTCCCTTTATTAGAGGGAATGGCCTCAAGTTGTGCCAGGGGAGATTCAGGTTGGATGTGAGGAAATGCTTCTTCCCCAAGAGCAGTCAGGTGCTGGAACGGGCTGTCCAGGGAGTGGTGGAGTCACCGAGGTGTCCAAGAAACGGGTAGATGTTGTACTGAGGGATGTGATTTAGCGAGGAATATTCGTGACAGCTGTACAGTTGGACTGGGTGATCTTAGAGGACTTCTCCAGTCCTGGTGATTCTATGAATTAAGCCATCAACTTTCTATTGCAACAACGTTTTATTCCCGCAAGTATTATTAAGACAGTATTGTACCACAGAAATAATGAAGTTGCTAAGTTAGGACCAGAATCTCAAAGAATACTGGAAAAAGAAGCAGAATACAAAACAGGGAAATAGTTGCTCGGGAAGAGATAGAAGTTGTATTTTAAAGTGAAGTAGTTTCTTTAATGCTAAGTAGGCATAGATTTGCTTTCTTCAAAGTCAGTAGTTCCAAAAATGATTAGTGAATCTTGGTTCCTATTTTAAGATAATTGAAAAGGGTGATTTTTAGAAAGGGACATCAAAATTCTGACAATGTTTCTCATCAGCTAACAGCTGAATTTTCAGAAACAATTCGGCATATTTAAACATTTTATCTAGGATGAATTTCTTCAGTATCTTCTAACACAGGCTTGTACTCATATTTTCTAACAAATTAGGGAAGGTATCATAGCATACCAACACTGTGTTCTGTGCCAAAGTTCCCTTTCTGTAGACACTCCAATGCCATGTGCATTTCCTTTTGGAAAAAAAAAAAAAAAATCAACCTCCTAGTTTATGTTTATATATCTGTACTTTCCCCTTCATTTCCTACCAATTCCTAATACATATGCTCTGACATTCATGGCCCACGTTTTTTTAATGCTATTATTCTCTGCTTTTATTTGGTTTGAGTTTGCTCTTAATGAGGTGAACTTTGCACAGCCCAACTCCAGCTCCTATAAAATCTGTCATAAATGGCCAGATTTAGCGATTTTGTACAGAGAAAAAAAAAGCGTACATACCACACAGCTGTACTTGGAAACAGATGTTTTACTCCCTTTAAAGTGAACTAATGAGGGCGGGGATATGGAACAGATAGGACAGGAACATTTCTGCCTAGATTTTGAATTTGAAATTTTGGAAACAGTGCAGAAAAGAATGGTGGGGGAGAAGGGTGGTAAATCCACTGACAAAATCTGCACAGCTGTGCTGACGTCAAGGCTCTCTCCAGTGTCAGTTCCATCCAGCAGCTCAAGAGAGTATCCCATAAAGTGAAGGCCAGATCTTCATTTGATATCAACTGCTGTAACTTTATTGAAATCGATCTGTTTATAGAAGTTCAGGATCTGGTCCTCTGTGTCCTTGCATTCAGCAAGAGTAAGAATCTCTAAATCACATTTTTCAAGGCTTCTGTAAAACAGAAGGGAGATCAGATCAGATGCTCCAAAAACCACAGCTTCTGATGAACATTTGGTGAAAGTGAATAATTTTTAAACTGACTTGGCCCACCAGTGTGGCCTTAAAATATGGAATCGTATGCTGCTAGTTCAGAAACATTTTTAGCACCTCCACCTAAACTTGCTCCTAAAGACACATTCAGAGAATGAAGAAACTTGTGATCATGATTTAGCTCCATTGGAAAGATGCATCAGTTCTGATTTTGTATAAAAAGATGCATCAGGTTTCCCCTCTGATTCCTAGCCTAAACTTAAAAAAGAAAAGAAAAAATTCTTGATTTGTCTTCATATGTTGTTCATCAGTCTGCTCACTTATAGCACAGATCAGACGCACAGCAGCAAGAAAGAATCATCTGCTGTATAAGGCTATGTGAGACACGGTCATTACATGTAGAGCAATGTGGGCTTAGTGGGGCCCTTCCTCCCCTGGGGACTACGGTAATATAAATTATTAATAGTAAAAATAAACATTGGCTAGCTTGAACTTCTCTTCATTCTCCTAGATCTTCTTTTTGTAATGGAATTAGCTAAATAAAGCCCACTTGAAAGAATGTTTCATTGCAAACTATCCAAACAAAACAAAATTGAGATAATTGGTTCTTAAACATTAAACACTCCAAAGTAGATTGCTTTGGAAGCAGCCAACAAAGCAATGTATATTAGGATACATATGGTAAATTGAATAGTTAATCAAAACGCAGCCTAAACAAGATTACATTTACTTTTAAACAGATCTTCAAGTTTTGTCAGTCTGATTCTGCCTAGAAGATACTTTTGGATGAACAGAATTGCAACAATATACTTTCCAAACTCATAAATCAAAAGAGTTAAACTCACAGACTCACTTCTGGACATAGTTTGACTTTGAAAGATCTAGATCATCTATACTGTAAAACCTACTACCCCTTAAACCTATTCTAGTCTAAAAATGTTGTCTTAGCAAAGACTACTGTTTCAAGTGCTTATTCTAGAACATTTACTTTCCTGAAAGTTGCATAGGGAGAGCTGACATAAGGAGTTCTGACAAAAGATCTCTGAAGGAGTGTGGTGATGCCTTCCACCAGAACAACTGATTACGGAGTTCACATCTGCCTTGGCCTCCACAAACTTCCTTTCTTCAGCCCTGTGATTTTGTTACTGCTATTAAATTCAAATATTTCAGTCAGCAAATACAGAGTGTCTGTTTTGGTATGTGAAGTCTCCCTTTTGTTACCCCTTAGAATAGTTAATGCACTTGCTATGTATTTCTTAAAAGTATTCCTAGCAAGACAAGAAAACGATCTCTCTCACGACAGTAAAATTTGGAAAAACAAACGAACAAACAAAACAACAACAAAACAAGAAAACCAACCAAAAACAAACAAACAAACAAAATCTAATTTAGAAAGTAGCAAAAAGTAGATGAATGGTAACCAAAATCACAGAGTAAAAATGATTTTAAAAACTAACGTACAGTAGAAGAATTTTTCTTTGGAGGTCTGCCGTGTGCATGAAAACAGACTAGTGGTAAAGCACTGAAAGTGCAGTTCTTAATGAGCCACATGTTTACCTTCTCACTTATCAATAACTGACATTAACAAGACTTCTGCCAGAGATAATACATTCCTGGAAGCGACGGGCTCTTCACAGTCATCGAGCATAAGCTGCTCACTGGAAAAGATAGACATTACTTGAAGTGCTAAGCAGAAGTTGCTCAGTAGCAGAAACAGCTGAGTTGAAACCATGCTTAGTCCAAACGCTAACCCAATGTTAAGGTCCCTTGAACTGTTGTGAATACCATCAACAAATGTGACAAGAGTCACTTGTGAAAATGAGTTTTGTTTGTGCACCAAAAGAAAATATCAATCAGATCTCTGTCTCAAACTTCTTCACAGACCATGAACTCCAGTCTTTGCTCCCCGAGGACTCAAAGCTTTTCTTATAACTAGCAGTCACAGCTGCATAGGGGTTCATATCCCACAGTTTTCCTTAGATCTTGGACTGCTTTACTCTGCATCTATGCTGACGTATGACAACAAAATTCCCACAGAAGAGATAAGTGAGAACTTCTGACAGTTTATTTCTTCTTCTACCCCAAAAGATGCAGGTAATTCTGGCAAAAGAAGTATTCTAGATGATTATTTTGCTAGTGGAGCTAAATCTTTTTGAATTTTATATTTCAGCATTTCTTTCAGCACTCATAGCTATGCCAGAACCTCCATAACACAAGTTTTCTATAGAGCTTCTCCAGAATACTTAGGGTGTGTAATAAATCTAGAATAGTTTTGATAGGTATTAGTAGACTGTAGATAATGTAAATAATAGTGTTCAGCTACATTATCAGCACCTCACTCTATCAAAATATTGGTATTATTTACTACTAAGATGCTTCTTGAAGGAACAAAACAATCCAGCAAGGCTGTACTTTCTATCAGCACCCTTTATACTTACACTATCTAAATTTACTGTGCACTCTAACAGCTTCTATACACACATCTTCTGCTAAATCAGCCATGTTGACCAATGAGAAAAAGATGGGAGGTGTCAAATCAATTCACTGTACATACTGATCCTTAATTCATCAGCTCCTACTGTCTTAAAAGAATGAGGTAAAAAAACAGTCACTTTCAGAACATGGTATGCAGGAAAATGACAGTAGGTTTGTGTTTACAGTTCATAGAGCTGCAAAGAGATCTAAAACAAAGACAGATGGCCAAATGCACAGTTTATATTCATGCAGCTATCGTTTCACTGACAATCCAAGAAGCTGTAGTGATGGATGAGATGACAATCAAATAGCTTCACATTTCAGGAGAGCACACAGGCAAAACAGTTAAATACCACAGTATTGCGATGAGTCCAGGGACATTAAGCCACGTGCACTGACCCGACCTTTCGCATCAGGTAGGCATCATTTGTGGCAGACAGTGATCACACACCTTGCCAAATGAAACCGATACGATGGCAGCAGCATCCAGAAAGCTGAAAAGCACCACAGCGACAAGCCTTTCTGCTAATGAAGAACCATGCCAGGCTGACAGAACAGTGTGGCCCTGGGATGTTCTTCTATCTTCTTATGTCCCCCGGCAGCTTTCCATCACTTGCAGTATGACCCTCCAAAAATCAGTACATGGATCAGTGATCTTATGAACTCAAATTTGTGTTCCTCGACAAAACCATCAAGAATGTACAGCCAGAGACTGTATTGGCAGAAAATCACTTGGGCACTCCTCAAAATTCACAAACAGCCATTCAGATACAAAATGCACATACTGACAAGCAACTCCAGCAACATAAACATCCAGATCCAGAATTAAATCCAGACACACAGCAGCAATGACACGATACATTCGATATAACAGACAAAAAGCACTATGTTCCAAATGATTTGGTTTACTCAAGAAATATATTTTACAATAAGCTACAGGCATAGTGCATTGTAAAGATAATCTGACAATTCTAGGTTACAGTATACTTGCTTACTGCTTTATATTAATCTAGAAATGGAGACAAATTCACAAGCAGTGTAGAAAAAGATTCACCACATATTACTACAGATCTGGAGATCGAAGTCAGTCTGGGTAGAAAGCATGTTTGGACCAGAGATTTTTCCAGAAGACGCAGTATATGCTCTTTTCCAAAGCTCTTTCAGAGCACACATGCCTTAGACTTGCATTATTGTTCTTGAAGAACTCATGCTCAAACAATTTTAAGATACTTTGGGCTGCTACTCATTTGTTTTGCAGTTCTGATGTTTGTTTGCATTGATTTTCTAAGGTTATTTAAATTCTTCATTTGTGAACAAATGATGTTGGCAGCAGAACACACTGGAATGCAAATACTCCAGAAAAAAAAGGGAGGGACAACTCAGCCCCAGTGGAATTAGGAATAAGATCCAATGACTCCCAACAGGGTTTCACAAGGGATAGCTCTATTGTTTCCTTCAGTGGGAGTTGTGGATCAAAGTAGCATTTCCCATCAGCCTACATACAGGACTCTCACGAAAGGTGCCAGTTCCTTCAATATTGCTCTGTGGGCTCACATTACAGACACTGAATAACAAAAATATAATTACAGGTTTTCATATAAGCGTGTGCATGTACAAAAAGCATGAAATAAAGCACACAGTAAGGCTCAGTTAGGATATGTCAACACAGAAAACATAATGATGTTAGAGCTGTTATGTTACTGATGGAATTAAACATGATCCATCCACATCAACTGCTTTTTTTTTTTTTTAATCTTCCATTGTAAAAAAGAAAAAAAACACAATAGATAATATAGCTAAGTAACTGTGAACATTCACAAATGGGGAAAAGCCTGTGAATTATCTGTATAAAACACGCACCAGCCACATCTTCACACAGATTTTAAAAAATGTAATTGCTCTGTCAGGTACGTACGCATTTAGAACAACTGTGTGTCAAATCTGTGAGAGCGATGGCCTACTGCTTTAACTTTACAGATCTCATCAAGCAAAATCCTTCCTCATAATCTGGAGAAATGCTCTAAACCCTTCCTGCAAAATTTCAGTTATGGAACGTAAACTCTGCAGAAATTCAGTGGAAATTCAGTGCACAGAAAAACTGTATGTTATTTTCATCATATTTTGCCTGCACTAATAGAAACATAAACCTGTTCATGCTAGCTCTAACACAGTAAACACTGTGACCCTGAAGCACACTGGGGGCTCTCAGTTTCCTCCCTATTTGGTTATCTGTTGAGTCCTAGCACTGGAGGATGACTTTTTTCCTCTTCCCAAATGTGGCAATTTACACAGAGGTTATGTAAGTGCAAAGAATTACAGAAAAAATGTAAGTGGAAAGTACATATTTTTAAAATGCACTTGAATAACTCAAATGTGGCTGAACTGACATTATTCAGACTTTCCAGTCTTATTCAGTACTGGATTGAAACCAAGCACAAGACATTTCAGGCCCAAAGGACATTTTAAAGAAAACTCTAAGTACCTAT